TCATCACGCCCCCGCAAATTGGCGCGTATACATTTGTTACGCCCAATTTGTCGAGTAAGAATTGCAACCTGTAACGACTGAGTCCCTTTGTGAAGAGATCAGCCAACTGATCTTCGCTTCTCAGATATTTTAGCTTGATCAGTCCTGACTTGACTCTTTCCCTGGTAATGTGCACATCAATCTCGATGTGCTTTGTTCTTTCGTGGTAAACAGGATTGTCAGCAATCTGTATTGCTGACATGTTGTCACAGTAAACGTTTACTGGAGATGGTAATGCAATTCCAAGTTCTGCAATTAACCTTTTCAGCCATTGTATCTCACAAACCAGGTGGGCTAGAGCCCTGTACTCTGCTTCAGAGGATGAACGAGACACTGTGGTTTGCTTCTTGGACTTCCAAGTGATTAGAGAATCTCCCAGGTAGGTACAATAGCCTGTAATAGATCTTCGTGTGTCAGGGCAGGCTGCCCAATCAGGATCACTGAAACCCTTTAACAACATGTCACTTTTTGATTTAAAATGCAATCCCTGACCTGGTGACCCTTTGAGGTATCTCAAAACTCTGTAAGCAGCCTGCAAATGTGGTTCTCGTGGTTGAATCTGGTATTGACTTAGCTGTTGTACAGGGTAAGCTATGTCTGGTCTTGTAACTGTTAGGTAATGCAACCTTCCAACAAGCCTTTTGTAAATGCCTGGATCTTTCAATAACTCCCCATCCCTTGCATTCAGCTTAACCTTACAGTCAATGGGGCTCTTACAACTCTTTGCATCTGTGAAACCAGTGTCTTCAAGAAGGTCCATACAGTATTTCCTTTGTGACACACTGATTCCAGAAGTGTTCCTTGCAATCTCAAGTCCCAGGAAGTATTTCAATGCACCTAGGTCCTTGATTTTGAACTCCTTCTTCAGGTAGTGTTTGACAGCTTCCAAGTCTCCCAATCTTGGACCTGCTAAGATAATATCATCCACATATACCAGCAGAACTACTATTCTGCCTTGCACCCATTTAACAAACAAGGAATAGTCAGAAGCAGATTGAGTAAAACCATTCTTCAACAATGATGTTGTCAACTTGGCAAACCATTGCCTGTTGGCTTGCTTCAAACCATACAGAGATTTGTTTAGTTTGCAAGCAAGACCAGTAGTATCACCTTCAATGACTAGTCCTGGAGGTATCTCCATGTAAACATCTTCTTCCAAATCTCCATTCAAGAAGGCATTTGAAACATCCATCTGCTCTAAACTCCAATCCTTGATAGCTGCCACTGCCACTAGTGTTTTAACAGTGTTGTTCTTAGCTACTGGAGAAAAAGTGTCAAGAAAATCCACACCATATACCTGTGTGTATCCCTTTGCAACCAGCCTGGCTTTATGCCTTTCTATCCTTCCATCTGGTCTTAGCTTAAGTTTCCATACCCATTTGCAACCTATTTTCTTTTTGTTAGGTGGCAACTTACACACTTCCCATGTGTTGTTGGCAATGAGAGCTCCCAACTCTTCCTGTGTAGCTCTATTCCAGTTTTCATCCTGTTGAGCCTCAGCAAAGGTTCTTGGCTCCAGATGAGTTGTCATACTTAAAGCTATGCTTTCCTTTCTGCTGTTAACCTTTCATATCCAACATACTCATCTATAGGATACCTGCTGACTGCTCCCAGATAATAGTCTTTGTATCTTGCTGGTGGCACAATGTTCCTGTGAGGTCTTTCTCGAACCTGTGGTTCTGCTTCACTTTCTTCAAGAGCTATAAGCTCTGGTTCATGGGAATCATCCACATAATCATCCATTTCCACATTACTCATAGCATCATCATCATCAGACTCAGAATATAAAACATTAGATGCATCAGTCAAGTGAAAAGGATTACTGTTTGAAGAACTAGGATCAGCTATATGGGTATTTTGATTTGCTGAAGAGGAAGGACTACTGACATGACTAGGATTTCTATCATTGAGAGGACTACTGACATGACTGGATTTCCTATGAGATGGATTGATGACATTTTGTGGAACATCAGAAGGTGTCACAGGTGCTGGGAAGAAATGCTCCTGTGAGGGTTCAGACACCTTTTCTTGTTCAGAGATGGTTTTAAATGGAAAGATGTCCTCATAAAAGGTAACATCTCTTGACACAAAGAACTCATGTGAGTTCAAATCAAAGAGCTTATAGCCTTTGATTCCTGCAGGAAGACCTAAGAAGATGCATTGTCTTGCTCTTGGTTCCATTTTGGTTCTACCTTGAGCATGACTAGTAGCATAGGCTAAACAGCCAAAAACCTTTAAATGACCAAGGAAAGGTGATGTTTTGTATAAAATCTGGAATGGGGATTGATTCTGCAGCACAGGAGTAGGCAGTCTATTGATAATATAGACTGCATGTAGGACACAGTCACTCCAAAAGGGTAAGGGCACACCTGAATGAAATCAAATGGCTCTAGCAACGTTTAATATGTGTTGATGTTTACGTTCTACCGCCCATTTTGTTCAGGTGTGTAAACACAGGACATTTCATGCTCAATTCCCCTCTCAGTATAAAAATCACACATTAAGAACTCCTTTCCTTGATCACTCCTCACCCTCTTTACTGTTTTATTGTATTGAGTTTGCACCATATTGCAGAAACCAATAAGAAGAGAACGAGCTTCAGACTTATGGTGCATAAGGTAGAGCCAAACTGCTCTTGAATGGTCATCAACAATGGTGAGGAAGAAAGAAAAACCATCATGTGACTGAACAGACAAAGGACCCCAGATGTCCACGTGAATCAATTCAAAAATGTCTGCAGCATAACTATTACTTAAAGGAAAAGGAAGCTTTTTCTGCCTAGACAGATGGCAGTGTTCACAGTGTTTGATAACTTCCTTAGGAATACTAGGATTACAGTCTTTAATAAGCTGAAATCTATTGGAACTAGGATGCCCTAAGCGCCAGTGCCACAAGGCAATCTTCTGAGGTTCAAAGTTGTAGACAGAGGCAACTTGGGAAGAAAATGAAGTGTTTGATGGTGAACTGGAAGTATTTGGTGGAATGAAGTGGTACAAGCCTTTAGTTTCTTGAGCCAAACCAATCATCATGGCTGATATCAGGTCCTGGATATGGCAAACATTAGATTGAAAGAGGAGTGAGATGGGTAAATCATGTGTCAGCTTGCTGACAGAAACTAAATTGAAGGTAAAGCTGGGTACCAGGAGGACATTATGAAGGAAAAGACCAGGGGTGAGCTTAACTGATCCTATATGACTAACTAGGACCTTAGCTTTGTTAGGGAGATAGACATAGACATCAGACACTGGAAGACTTTTATGAAACAAATGAAGGGAACAAGCAATATGATCTGATGCACCTGTGTCCAATATCCAAGTTGAAGACAAGACATTATGAGAACAGGTGGAAGACAGGACATATTTACCTGCAGAGTTTGGGAAGGCAGGAAGATGAGTAGTGACTGAATGTGCCCTATGATTGATTACTGGACTCTGAGGTGAAGTTGGAGAAGTGGAATTGGACATCTGCAGAATGCTTCTCAACCTGCTCATCTCTTCTGCAGTAAATCCTCCAATTGGACTGGCAAACCTGTTGCCAACCTCAATATGCAACCCTTCAGACTGACTCCCTTCTTCAGACCCAATGTTCTGACCAACAGAACCTGCAAATCTTCCTGCATTCTCTGCATTCTCTCGATCCTGCTTCTTTTTCTTAAGTATCCAGCAATCCTTGATGACATGATTGGTTTTCTTGCAATAGTTGCAAAACAGTTCTTCTCTATCTCCCTTAGCAGGTGGGCTGTCTCTGTTAGCTCTTGGAGGTGGGCTATTGGAATTGTTTCCTCCAACAGCCAATGCCACTGATTGTCCTGTTTTCTGCTTGAGACTGCCTTCTGCCTTAAGTTTCTGCTCATGCTGCAAGAGGTCATCAAACGCCATAACCACTGTGGGAAGTGGTTTCATGAGCAGAAGTTGAGTCTTGATCTAGTCATACTCAGGATTCACACCAGCTAGGAAACGAATTAAGTATTCTGTATTCTGTTTTGTCCTGAAAGCTTCTACAGCAGCACAAGGCATTGGGTTGCCTGGTGCACATCCACATGGGACAATCGGGTTAAATTGACTATATTCCTCCCAGAAACCTTTCATCTCTGTGTAGTATTGAGTGATTGTACGAGTTCCTTGCTTAAAAGCATGGATATCATCTACTAGATTTGCTAGTTTGAGAGCACTAGCCTGACCATATCGGCCCTTCAATTCAGTCCACAGAACCTGAGCATTGTCATGACTCAGAACACTACGAGCAATATCTTTCTGCAGCGAATTTGTTATCCAGCAAAGAACAATAGTATTACAAGCATCCCAAACGTGAAACAGTGGATCTCCCTGAGGAGGTGCTGGTATGCTTCCATCTATGAAACCCAGTTTGTGCTTTGTTTTCAGCACAACTCTCACAGCCTTAGACCACATTTGATAATTAGGACCATCCAAGACTATGGGAATCACCGATTGAGCTAGATTCTCATTAGGGTTAATATAGAATGGGTTACCGAAGTTTGGATCGGGAGCAGCACCAGCAGCAGTAGTAGTCCCAGATCCAGAAGCAGAAGCGGTGTTGTTGTTGAAATTGTTGCCATCAGTGAACTGACCAAATTGCAGAGAAGGAGAAGTGCGTTGGGTTTGATTGAATGGTGGTGTTTGAGGTGGTGTGTTTGGTTGAGCCCGATTTGGACCTTGGTTTTCCGCCATTGCTTCAGATCTGCTCTGATACCATGTAGAAAATGAAGAATGGAGGAAGGGTTTTGGAATCCTCAGCTAATTCAGTTGCTGGGTTTCGTTTATTTATACTGGTTCCGGATTTACTGTTTCACAACGGTAACAATGACGTGGTTAAACACCATTCGTCCAAATAACATAAAACGGTTAAAAGGAAACTAATAACTAAAGCGTCGTCGTCTTGTTCCTTGCACAGCTCCACTGTAAACGAAACGGCCGCCACTCCGAAACGTTTCAAGCGAACTGTTCTTCCTCTGTATTCAAACTCTGCAACATTGGCGCCATCTTCCCTTGAACACTCTGCTCCTGCAGATTCAAATCCAGGACACCCTTTCCTTTCATCTTCATCAAAGGACGCGACAAGCGCGGCAATAAAGTCCTCCGCGTCGTCGCAAAATACTTACCCGGTAAGATAAGTTCCAGCCTTAGAACTTAGAAGCGATGTCTGGCCGGTCAATTCCTCGTGTTTCCAGTTCACTAACATTAAGCCTTTGCTCTCTCTCTCTCTCTCTCTCTCTCTCTCTCTCTTTGGTGTGGCGATTTGGTATTATTTTAGCACGGATGGTGAGCTGCGAAGCATTGAAGAAGCATTTGGAGGACTCGGTTTTCCCCAAGCTAGGAGAGAAGCCGTTCTCGGTAGTGTATTTCCACGACGGAGTTGAACGGAACGAGAATTTCCCCGGAATCTCTGCCCTCCGATCATTCTACGACGCCGTTCCGGATCCCCTGAAGGAGAATCTGCAGGCGGTGTACTTCGTGCATCCAGGACTTCAAGCCAGGCTCTTCCTCGCCACCTTCGGCCGTTTCCTTTTCACCGGCGGGTAAATACGATATTTTTGAATTGTCTGGTAAATCAGAAACAGAGCATGGTTAACCGGTAATCGCTCTGTTTTTCTTACCCTCTCTCTTTTTTGGTGCGCAGATTATACGGGAAGGTGAAGTACGTTAGCAGGCTGGAGTTTGTGTGGGAGTACGTAAGGAAGGGAGAAATCGAGGTGCCGGAGTTCGTGAAAGATCACGAAGACCAACTGGAGTACCGGCCGCTGACGACGATGGATTATGGCATGGAGAGCGATTTCCCCAGGCCGTACTGCGCCGGAGCTAACATGGACAACCCCATGGCTTTGTACTCCATGCGTTGTATTTCCTAGTGTTTATGTACAGAAGCTTTAAAACGCTGTTGTGTGTATATATAAAAAAAGTTTTGAGTGTGTTAGGACTTCAGGAAAGAGGTTTCCTTGCAATAAAAGTTTTGATGCATTTTCTATAACTTAGACCACCAAACAAACACAGCCCTCCTGGAATTCTGCTCGCCGGCTCTTCTAGCGGCCGGCGATGCTCTTCTCTCCTTCCTCTCAGCGATCCTCTTCTCGACCATTGCTAATCAAGGAGTACAAGGAAGCTGGAGATCCAGGCATCCCATATCGCCGATTGGGAAGGCTCCGGTGACACAATCTTCGTCCGCACGCTGGAGGAGATTGCACGAGGAAGCCAGCTCCTTCCCTTCCTCTGGAAGGTGGTCGATCTCGGCACCAAAATGTAAGAGGCAACGGGAATTCAGCCGGGCAACGACCGACGACCATGGAGAATCGATTCCTAAGCGGGTGTGCCGTCCTAAGTACGTGATGTGGCGCTTTGCTCTGCCTTCTTCAGACGAGGCAGAAGAGGAGTGGCAATCCTCCCCGGTTAAGCTGAGTGATATTCGGTCACCTAGTAACCAGGCCAAAAGGATAGAGCCTAGGAGTGGCTCTTTCCCCTGCGAACTTAGACCCCGAGATGGGGCGAGTTCTGAACTTAGACCCCACGGTGGGGCGAGTTTGATTCCGATGCTTACAGGGCCTACGCTGGTGCCATTGTCGACCCTAACCTGTCCCATGGGGAAGCCTCGGCCTAGGCCTCCCGGTCGACCAGTCGTTCGCCGGACTTGCTCGCCGGGAAACTGCCCAGCTGTCCTTGCGAAAAATTATGGTCTCGCGTTTTTCTCGGGGATGGGTATCGGATCGGGCGATTTTCTGTTACGCCGTATCGTTAGGCGGGTGGGAAAATCAGCTAGGCGGGTAATTAATTTTAAAAATAATAGTTCCCTAGCCCAAGTAGAGTCCTCGGGGACTTGGGGTTTTGAGACTGGTTTAGCCTATATAAGGAGACCCGATAGGCTTCCTATTCTTCATCGTTTCAACGGAGAGGAAACTAGGGCAGTCCATTGGCGAAACCTCGATCCCCAGCAGGATTCTTTTTCGGGTAAGTGGGATTTCCTCTATCCAGAACTCATTTTTGGGGTATGGGCTGACGGCCTGGCAGTCTTGAAATTCCATTTTCTGTTCTCAAGTTACCCTTGGGTTTCTGTGTATACATCGCTCGATTCTGTGCATGCTTGTGACCTAGGGGTCTCTTCTTTGTTTCAGACATCCACCATGGCACGCATCACGAATGATCAGGTTGTTGAGTTTACTCTAGCGGAAGTTCAGTCTGATAGGATCCGAAGAGCTAAGAGTTTGCTTGGCCGTGTTTTCTCGGAGGAACGGCTGACAACGAGTGAACTAAGAAAGGCGGTCAACAACCCATGGCAGGGCCATGGAAGAATTATAGTGCGGGAGGTGGCGCACGGACTGTATGAGTTCACCCTGCCGAATGAAGCGGCGAAGAACTGGGCTCTCCAGCGCACTCCATGGGTCTTCAAGGATAAAATCCTTCATCTCCGGGCATGGGTACCTAGTATCACTGCTCGGACTTTCGACGAAATGGCAATTGCTCCATTTCGAGTCCAATTGTGGGACGTGCATGAGGACTGTTGCACTGAGCAATTCGGGCGAAAAGTGGCGAGCTCTACCCTTGGTAGGGTTCTTGAAGCTGGTGTTTTCACTTGCAATGACACGGGCACCAGTTTCATCAAAGTTAAGGCTCTTATTGACTTCTCCAAACCTCTTCGCTCCCAAATCATGGCTGCTAATGACGAGACGGGGGCTTTCTGGATTCGTTTTAAATACGAACACCTCCCAAGTTTCTGCTATAATTGTGGCAGAGTGGGGCATTTGCGCCAGGCTTGCGGCTTTGACCCCCCTACGAGGAAAGAGCGGTTCGGTCCTCACATGACGACCAAGAAGATGGGAAGGAAAGTGTTCGAGGATATGGGTACTGATCAGTGGTTCCATGGCCAACCCAACTCAGTCTGGATAAATACCAATATTCGGAATACGAACCCGGTGGGGGACAAAGGGGATCGACGAGCGCCTAACCTGATGGAAACGGAGCCTAAGTCGGCTAAGCATCCTGTAGTGGAGGATAGTCCGAAGTGGCTGGGGTCCTCGGATAATCCTTTTGTCATGCCGGAGCAGCGCGCTTCGAGCAAAGGGAGGAGTCCGCCTCGCTTCCCGGTTTCAAAAACTCCCAAATTTTCCTTGGGGAGACAGGGACGTCGGGGAAAGGGCAAGGATGCGTCCAGCCCGATGGAAATTGATGGGGCCCAGTTTCAGGCCCAGGTGCAGCGGCGGGCTGGATTAAAACATATTTTACCGCGGGCCAAGGCTGGTGGTGCTCGCTTGGATCCGAAGCTGGCACGTGAGGCTGCTTCGAACCGACCGGTCAAGGGCGGTGCGCCTGTTTCCAGTTCTTTGGACGAGGAAAAGGAGGTAACGCGCCGGAGGAGAATCATCCTACAAGCAGAATCGGAGGATGAATTTTTCGTCCAGAACGTTTCGCCTAGCCGCCAGGTGAGGGCAGAGCGTAAATCGAGCAAGATTGGTGCTGGCCGACTTTCGAGGGTGGGGACAGACGCGGGCTATGACGGCCTGTGTGGAGCGGGTGCTAGCTCAGGCAAAGAAGTGTAGTCCCCTCCTGCTCGACGGACGGTCGGGGAAGCTGGTTCTGGGCCGAGGAAGCAGCAGACTTCTGCCAAGTCAGGGAAGGCGAGGGGGACTGGTCGTACCACCAAGTCCACTAAAGGTGCAATGAATGGAGGGAAGAAGCCTGACTTAAGCCGAGGGGAGAGCCCTCTAGCTGATGGGGAAGACGGAGTGGCTTTTGCAGGCAGGACTGACTTGCCGAAATCGGAGGCCACTCAGTCTCCCAATACTTCTCTGAATTCGGAGGATACTATCTCGGATGGGGAGGCCATGCCCTTCGAAGTGCGGCGTCGATCTCCCGTGCTCAAAGGCACATTGCGGAGGCCAGCCCACTCCTCCAAGGTGAGTCAGGTGGTTCGAGCATTTGAGAAGGGCCTGGCGATGGGTGATGAGCCGGACGTGTTGGGTTCGGCGGAGTACCGATCCGGGGAGGGCGTGGCTTTAAAGGGTCCGGAGGTGGATTCTACTCTTGGCATTTCCCTTGAGGAATATGGTACCAACTTGCCCGATCCGGAGATGGGAATGAGAAAGCGTCTGTTGGAGGAGATTGATGGGGATATGGCAGAAAACCTAACCCCCAAGAGGCAGTTCGTTGAAGAGAAAGATGGTCTGGAAAAGGTGGAGGAAGCCAGCCTTGAGTGGCCCCATCCGGATAAATGAGGCTTCTGGCCTGGAATGTGAGAGGAATTGGGCCATCCCTCACGTTCCAAACTGCTGTAGGTTTAGTGCGGTCGAATAAACCGGATCTCGTGTTTTTCTCGGAAACGCGATCGAGCCGGCGTGTTGTCTCTCGCCGTATGCGGGGTTTATGTTTTGATATTTCCAATTGTTTCTTTGTGGATGCGATTGACGCTTCTGGTGGGTTAGTTGTTGCTTGGTCCCCCGAAGTTGATGCTTCAGTGTTTTTTCATTCAAACTTTTGTATTTGTGTTCAAGTTAATGAAGGAGATTTTGTTTATGTCGTGGTGTGTGTTTACATTAGCTGTAATGCTGCGACCAGGGCTACCCAGCTTGCCCTTCTGAGTAATATTTGTGCTACCATCCAGAGCCCTTATGTTGTCATAGGCGACCTTAACACTATTCTTCATGAAAGTGAAAAAGAGGGGGGAACCCTTGGAATGCCGCGCAGTCTTCTAGTTTGCGGGATTTTATTCTCCACCTGGGTCTTCATGACCCTGGCTACCAGGGTGATCAATTCACGTGGACGAATAAAAGGATGGGTGCATCTTGCATTCGTGAACGTCTTGATAGAGCGCTTTGTTCGCAAGCCTGGATTGATCATTACCCCGATACTCTGGTTAAGCATTTTACGGATCAAGGTTCTGATCATCGGGCGCTCCTACTCTCTGATAAACCCTATGCCCGTAATTGCCGCCCGCTCTTCCGATTTGATGCCCGATGGGCGGATAATCCCGAAGTTAGGGCCATGGTTCAATACGTCTGGCAGGAGGAGATCCATGGATCGCTTATGTTCCGTTTATGGGAACGCCTTAAGAAGCTCCGTCATTTATTGTATGATTGGAGTAGGGCGGGAACTACCAAATCCCTCCAAAATATTAAAACTCTCCAGAATGAAATTGAGAATATCAAGCGATCCCATCCGATTGATTGGGACACAATCCGGAGTCTAGAAAGTGAGTTGAATCGGCAATGGGAAGCGGAGGAGCTTTATTGGCAGCAAAAGTCCAGGGTCCATTGGTTAAAGAAAGGAGACAAAAATACATCGTATTTTCATACGGTGACTCGGACGCGTCGCAAAAAGAATTTTGTGGCTGGTCTTCGTAATGATGAGGGTGCTTGGATCACGGATGAGCCTGGGAAAGCTGGCATTGCAACCAATTTCTATCAACATCTCTTTACCTCGGAGAATCAGGTCACGAATATGGTTGAGCGTGTGGCAGGATTGCCTATCGATCACAAGGTTACCCCAGAAATGAATGCCGACCTTACGGCGGCTGTTCTCCCCGATGAAGTTCGCAAAACTGTTTTTGCCATGGGATCGAAACAGGCCCCTGGGTCTGATGGATTCACGGGGAAATTCTTCAAGGCTTTCTGGGATATAGTGGGAGCCTCAGTGGTGGAGGCAGTTTGTTCTTTCTTTGAGACTAGCAAAATGCTCCGAAGTTTCAATCATACTTGGCTCACCCTGATCCCTAAAGTTGACTCTGTGGAGAACATGCGGCAACTTAGGCCAATAAGCCTGTGTCAGTTTGTGTATAAGATTATTTCCAAGATCATGGCGGAGAGACTTGCGGGTTTTTTACCACAAATTGTCTCAAAGGGCCAAAATGCTTTTATACGGGATCGTCAGATCATCGAAAATATCCTCCTTGGGCATGAGTTAATGCATTATTTGAAAATTAAGACGCGGGGTAAGAAAGGGTTCATGGCTCTTTAGGTTGACATGGAAAAGGCCTATGATAGAGTTGAATGGCCCTTT